AAGGGTCTAACAGCTCTTGGACAGTAGCATACCCCTCGTCTTTCTTCTCCTACATATTTATAGTATTTATATAAGTTTCTATAAGGATTAGAAAACACTCATGTACTTTCTAGTTTGTATAGGATTTGATATATATCAATTGTATCATTTTTCCTCTTACAATTTAGAATAAATATTATATGATTTCCCAATCAAAATTCTTTCCAATTGTTGAGGAAAAACATACTTCATCTAATATAGATTGATTACAAATAGTATGTTAGTGGCCTAAAAATGTATTCATTTCAGGCTTCTGAGCAAAAAACCAGGTGTGGTTATTACGTTGGACATGGGGAAAGCTTATGATAGAGTGGAGTGGAGTGGAGTTGTAACAATCATAAACTTTCAAATATATATATATATATATAATAATAATAATAATATTAATATTGTTAACATAAATAAATACAAAAAAAAATAAAAATAAATAAATAATAATAATAAAATAAAATAAATAGATAAATAAATAAAATAATAAGTATATATTAGTAATGATAATAATAATAATAATACTAATATACCGTTAGGATGTTGTTGCTTTTATATTAACAATAAATAAAAGATATTATTGTTAATATATTTGAAGGTCCAATTTTACTTGGGTGGACCTTAGGTCCACCACCTTAAAGGTTTATAAAAACACTCATTTAAACGACACCTTGCGTTTGAGGTGTTCCTTTTTTATACGTCTTTTTCTCTCTCTCTCCTATGCACATCTCTTTTAACAAATTTGTTCCCACCCTCTAAATACAAAAGTGGCTAGGATCAATAGTGATTGATGGCGCCAAGAACCTGTGAATAGCGTTAATGGCATTCCATCCCACAAATTGAAATCAGTGGATAGAAAATCATTTAGGTTCTTTCCTTTTTCTCTGAATTTGAAATATGATTAATCGTAGAAAAACCCCATTCAAAAAAAAAAACAGAAGACTGGTTTTCTTAGTTCTATCTGCTTCCCCAGTTTCGAAGTTACGGTAAGTGACATCGTCTTCCTGAAAAATAGTCTATTTTTAATAAATAGTGATATTTCCGTCTAGGATCTTTATTTTATCAGTTTTATGTGTAAGTGACCTCATTGTCTCGAAAAATAATCCATTATTTTTAAAAATAAAATGAAATAATTATTTCTGCTTATTATCGTGAATTTTAGGTGCGATAAATTTTATGCGCACACGACCTCATTATCTTGAAAAATAATCTTTTTAATAAAAATTGTGATATTTTATCTATGTTAGAAATTTTAAATGCTGTAAATTCTTAAAAAAATAAATTTATTTATTTTTCTTGGCTATTGTTAT